TTGGTTTAGATAGTTTAGATAATTTTAATAGTTTAGATAGTTTAGGTAGTTTTGGGCTCCACCCGTGACCCAACCTACCCCCAAAATTATCTAAACTATGTAAACTATCTAAACTATCTAAACCACCAGGCTCGTAATTTAGTATTGGGGGAAAGCCCGGGCTCGTAATTTAGTATTGGGGGAAGGCCCGGGCTCGTAATTTAGTATTGGGGGAAGGCCCGGGCTCGTAATTTAGTTTTGGGGGGAAGGCCCGGGCTCGTAATTTAGTATTGGGGGAAGGCCCGGGCTCGTAATTTAGTATTGGGGGGACCCTTGGTTTAGATAGTTTAGATAGTTTAGGTAGTTTTGGGCTCCACCCGGGACCCAACCTCCCCCCCCAAACTACCTAAACTACCTAAACTATCTAAACTATCTAAACCCCCCTGGTTTAGATAGTTTAGATAGTTTAGGTAGTTGAGGCCTCTCTCCCCCAACTATCTAAACTATCTAAACTATGTAAACCCCCCTGGTTTAGATAGTTTAGATAGTTTAGGTAGTTTAGGCCGCTCACCCAACTATCTAAACTATCTAAACTATCTAAACCCCATTGGTTTAGATAGTTTAGGTAGTTTAGGCCTCTCCCCCAACTATCTAAACTATCTAAACTATCTAAACCCCACTGGTTTAGATAGTTTAGATAGTTTAGGTAGTTTAGGCCTCTCACCCAACTATCTAAACTATCTAAACCCCCCTGGTTTAGATAGTTGAGATAGTCCCCAAAAAAAGGAATGCCACATAATACATAAAGGTTCCTGCCTCATATATATATATATATATATATTTTTTTTTGTTTTATTCTTCTTCTTTTTGCGGGGGGGGGGGGGGGGGGGGGTTCTTAAGCAAACAGTAGTTCAGGAGTCGATCTGGCGTAGTCCGCGCACCATCTGCTGAGGCTTTAGGGTTTCGGGTTAGGGGCCCCTGACACACGCACACTCACAGACACGCACACACACACACACACGAGAGAGCCGCCTTTTGAACTCTCAGGCATGATGTCTGGCGGCCAACCGTTAACTGGAGGCTGCAAAGCCTATAGGCTTTGGAAAGATCCATCCTTGTGCTGCCTAGTGCTGAGGTCAAAGGTTTAGGGTTTAGGGTTTAGGGTTTAGGGTTTAGGGTTTAGGGTTTAGGGTTTAGGGTTTAGGGTTTAGGGGCCTCCAAGGGAAATTGGGCCAATGAGCCGACCACTGAACAACACCAAGCACTGCAAGAAAGTGGTTCTGCTAAACGAACACACGGTGCTTCTGAAAGATGCGATGTTTCCCCTCACCACAATCCAGCTATTAAAAAAACTTGAACATGTGAACTTGAAGAAGTCTCCTGCGAGTGGTGTTGCAATGACTCGGTGGTCGGGACATGCCCATGCCTAGTTGTAAGTAGAGTTATAAGAGCCCTAAATTGGGCTATAAGGGTCCTGAATTAGGTTATAAGTCCTTTAACTACAGTTCGTATAGTAAGGGGGCCCCTCCTTGTGGCAAAAAAAAAACAATGTGACGATTTTTTGACGGAAATGGGGTATGAAGGTACCCTCATTCTCCATCTCGTCATCTCGTGCCTCGTGCCGGTCGACTCACCGCCATCGACGGGAGCTGGTGCGACGACGGGGGTGCTCGGTTCCGACCTTGCAATCGATCTCCAAGTGGAGGCCCCAAGGGTCGTTCTTGTCTGTGCGCCGAGCACAGATGTTATCACCGCTCTTGTAGATCTCGAAGTGGTCGTTCCATTTGCCCGCTTTCACCCGATACGGAGGATTGCCAGCAAAACTGTTGCAATCCAGATTTGGAACGGGAGCCGGAACGCACTTCGGTGAAATACGGCGGCGTGGTTGGTTGCTTCCGATGGTCACCCTTATACCTTTCTCTGAATCTCCTGAAACTGCTGGCACTGAATCTTCAGGTCCATAGCCCAACCAATTCCTTGGTCGCTTAAGACTACAACAATCCATCCTTTGCAGGGATTCTGGGCTTGGACTTGAGGGAACTACCAGCCGTAGAGCACATGTGTCCGCGGACGCGTCCGCCACGCGGGGGGGCCAGGCACCTGTCCACGGCATCGACAATCTTCTGCGCCGGAGTCGATGCATTGAGGCTGGCGTTCACGTAAACCTCACTCTCGGGATCCTCCGCGGGCTCTTCCGAAGAAACCGGCTCGTCCTTCCACGTGCCGACCTTGAAGGCGATTGCTTCATTGCAGCACCAGATCACAGCAAGCTTCAACCAGGCAATCATGGCCCTGGTGTAGCAAAAGCCGCCGGTGCTATTACTTGCGAAGCACGAATATAAACTTGGAGAAAGCTGCGGGGGATCAGTTGTTGGCACACGGGCAACGCATGCACCGCGCAACGTGAGCTAACGTCTGTCAGCATTGCAGCCCAAGTAGGAAGGTCTCTCAATGATCTGTACCTTAAGCCTCGTAAGCCCTGCAAGCCCTAAACCCACCACCAGCCTGCACCCAAGGTCCAGCGCGTTTGGGCCCAGTAGGCCTATATAAGACCTCGGTTTGCGAGCGCGTGACTCATGGTCGGGGAGGACAAAGATCCTTGCGATGCTACGAAAGATCTTCGTAACCCTAAACGGCCCCAAATGTTAAGGCATTAGCCTCATCCCGACACCCATTGCTGGTGGAAGAAGTTCTCCGCGTTATGAGCCCCCGCCGGGCCCTCAACCGTTAACTGATTGGTCCCTTGAGGGAATTCAGTGCCTTCTGTTCCCCTAGAGTACTCTTTTACGTGCTTGTAAACATATCCCTCATTCCCTACGCAGAACCAGAAAGTAAAGCCTCTAAATCCCTGGACCCTCAACCCTTTGCATAGTTCACCGAAATGAGTAGAACAGGGTTTTTGGCGGTTGCTATACTATAATTACACAGGGGCCATGAGGGAATACTATCCGTAACTATTCCGACCCCCATATTTGCCTAAACCCTAAACCCTATAAACCCCAAAACCCTAAACCCTAAACCCCTAAACCCTAAACCCTAAACCCTAAACCCCTAACCCTAAACCCTAAACCCTAAACCCTAAACCCTAAACCCTAGACCCTGCTACTGGGATACTAAGCTCTGTACCGGCGCTTGGTGGACGTGTTCTCGACCGGCTCGGGCCTCTCTGCGGCGCCTCCGTGCGTTTAGGGTTTAGGGTTTAGGGTTTAGGGTTTAGGGTTTAGGGTTTAGGGTTTAGGGTTTAGGGTTCGGGTTTAGGGTTTAGGGTTTAGGGTTTAGGGTTTCGGGTTTAGGGTTTAGGGTGTAGGGTGTAGGGTTTAGGTAGGGTTTAGGGGGAAGCTCTTAAAACCTCGAATCGCCTAAAACCTTGACAAACCTCACTTCACCCTAAACCCGAAACCCTATATATGGGCCAGGGCGCACCCCCCCCACCCCTCCCCTCCCCTCATGGTATCCACCCCCCCCCCCCGCCCTCTGGTTCTGGTGGGTTTTGGGTTCCCCCTCACTGTGGTTCATGGTGTTCATGGGTTTAGGGTTTAGGATAGGTTTAATTAGTCTGTAGGGTTCAGGATTTTCACTCTGGTCCATTGGTTCACTGTGGGTTTAGAGTTTGATTAGGGTTCAAGGTTTGGAGAAGGTAGGTTTAAAGTTTCCCCTCTCCCTGTGGTTCGTGCTGGGTTTACGGTTGAGGGTTCAGGGTTAAAGCGGCATAGGTTTCGGGTTTACCCTTCTCCCTCCTGTCGTTGATTGGTGGGTTTGAGTTTTAGGCTTAGGGTTCAGGTTTTGAGGTTTAGGCTGAGGCTTCTTCCGTCCCCCCCCCCCCCCCCTCCGTGGTCCGTGGTGTTTTTAGGGAAACAGGCAGGTTGGGGGGGGTTGCCATGGGGGGGGGGGGGGATACCATTGGGGCGGGGGCGTCGATTACGCGGAACGCGGGCGCAGAAAGCCCCTCAGAACCCGAAACCCTAAACCATATACTTCTTAAACCCCAGAATTTCTTCAAGCCTACGGGACTTTGGAACAAGTCCTGAGATAGGATTGCGAATTCACAGTTGAGAGCCTGGCCCTAGAGGGTTTGCGCGGGGTTTGGGTTATGGTTTTGGGTTTCTTAGGGTTTAGGGTTTAGGGTTTATTTAGGGTTTAAGGTTGTGATGAAAACCATCCCCTTCAACGGGAGCCGTTGTCCCGTAGACACCGGGATAGGAGCAACCAAAAAGAAGCCAGCAGCAGTCCTGCATCACGTGCGCGCTGCTGACGTCTTGCGCGCAAAGTCGGGCAGGTGTGGCTTCGAAAACACATCTAAGGCTATAATATACATGGTCCCTTAGCATGGGCACTTTAAAAGGGGGCCCCTCATATACCCCTTCTACGCCCTGCACAACCCGAGGGCCCAGAGTTCAGAACTCGCTAGAGAAGGGAAGGGGCCGCATTAAGGGCCATGCAACTACCCTTACAACACACCTGACAGCTAAGCTGCAACCCTAAACGAAGACTCAACCATGCAATCTTGCGGTGTGGCCTCAGGCAGCATGTACAGCACGCAGCGGCAGAAGCCACCTGCCACACAGCGCGAAAAGAGGGCCCCAGTTTCCTAGAATGGGTCATCTGGGTGATTTCAATGATAATTCTGTAGAGGGGTACAAACGGGAACCCGAGTTAAACCTCAAGGGGCCCCTTACTATACTAACTATAGTTAAGGGACGTATAACCTAATTTAGGATCGTTACAACCCAATTATTGCTCTTATTACTCTACTTGTTTCTAGGGGGCCCCACCTTGTAGATCGGGATATCATAGGGGCTGTAACGACATGGTCTTTAAATCAGAATTTACAAGTAGACCGGGCCAGGGTTTAGGGTTCAAGGCGCTTGAGGCTCTTAGGGCTTACGGGGCTCGTGGACTTGTTGCCCTCAACCCTAAACCCTAAACCCTAAACACTAAACCCTAAACCCCAAACCCCAAACCCCAAACCCCAAACCCCAAACCCCAAACCCCAAACCCCAAACCCCAAACCCCAAACCCTAAACCCTAAACCCTAAACCCTAAACCCTAACCCTAAACCCTTGGGCTGGGAGGTTTAGGCTCCTATATCCCCATCAGCCCACACAGTGCTGACATTGCTGCTCACTTGAAGATTGAAAGATGACTACTGTGTCTTGCCGTAGAATGAGGAGAAGTGCTTGTAGGGTTTAGGGTTTAGCGTTTAGGGTTTAGAGTTGAGGGTTTAGGGTTTAGCAATGCGAGTAGCAGCTGGTCAGCGGCAATCCGAAATTTCAGACAACAGGGAACAAACAAGCAAACAAACAAGTTTGTATCCCCAAGCGCAAAAACTAGACCAGTGACCTAGGAATAAAAAGGGCACCCTTCTTGGTTTTAAGGGGAATATAAGAGAACCCCAACCCGAAAAAAAGGCAAAAAGGGCCTACTTACTCCGGTCCTAGAAAATCCTGTGGTAAGTTCTCAGGACTCAGAGAAGACTGGCCTTCCGCACTTCGGATGGAATGCGCATACGAGTTCTGCAAATGGTGAATGAGGGAATTAGGTGCCTGGCATTTTCCTCTACAATTCTTCAAGGGGCCCTATGGGCACTGTAGCTAATTCCATAGAAGGTATTGGGTGCCTGATCGTGCGCTATGCGCCACTTGAAAGGCTAGTTAGGGGAGCCGTGCGAAGAACCAGTAAACCCCTGCCCCTACACCTTAAATCCTAAACTCTAAACCCTACACGAGGGTTTGCCAAAAATCAGGGCCCCTAATTTGATGTAGAGCCCCAAATAGCAGGTACCCCTAATTTCGGAAGTCTCGCCTAAGACATAAAGACCCCAACACCTTGGCTCTGAGCCCCAGGTACGCTTAAGCCCTCTAGACCCTTGAAAAACCCTCAAAAGTCCTAAATCTCTAAACCCTAAACCCTGAACCCTAAACCCTTGATTCCCAAACCCTAAACCCTAAACCCTGTATGGCGTCGAAGCCCCAGGCGGCTGGAGCCTGCATGAGCCCTCTAGAGATTGGAGTGGGATGCGAAGGAGATAAGATCTTGGGGTGTCGAGTTTGGAGTTTCAGGGCTTAGGATTCAAGGTTTAGGGTTTAGGGTTTAGGGTTCAGGTTTAGAGTTTGGGGTTTAGGGTTCAGGTTTAGAGTTTGGGGTTCAGGGTGTCGGCTCGGCACTTTGGCGTTTACGGTTTAGGGCTTTGGGCTTGGGGTTCTGGGCGCATGGTTCAAGGGTCAGGGGTTTGGGGTTTAGGGTTTAGGGGTTTAGGGGTTTGGGGTTTAGGGTTTAATTTAGGGCTTCAGGGTGTAGGGTTCAGGGCCCCGGAAGAAGCGCCGAAGGGTTTCTTTTCCCGATCACGGTGATCTGCGTCCGGGGTTTCGTTAGGGCCAGATTTAGGGGTGGAGGGCTCAGGGATGACCTCAGGGAATCCAGCCCGTCAGCTAGGCGGGTGAAGCCTGAGCATGCCATTCATTGGGTAGGCCCATACCAGCTGGACTTGGCTTAGAATCTTCACTTGCTTCCGTACTTCCAGGGGCTCAGATAGCCTTGGTAGCGCAACCAGATTGATAACAGGGTACCCCTGAGAGGTTAGGGTTTACGGTTTAGGGGGTTTAGGGGGTTTAGGGGGTTTAGGGGGTTTAGGGGGTTTAGGGGGTTTAGGGGGTTTAGGGGGTTTAGGGGGTTTAGGGGGTTTAGGGGGTTTAGGGTTTCGGGTTTAGGGTTTTGGGCGTTTAGGGTTTAGGGGCTTAGAGAACCTAGAAGCAAAATTTGGCATCACGGGGCTGCCAAGTAGCAAGGCTGCCCAGGACCTTTCAGCAAAGTGACCCTCCTCAATATTGTCTCCGCGTGAGAGTGATGACTCGAGGTGCTTCCAGGTGTCTAAGTGCGGCCTGGCGAGGGTGTGGCTGAAGAAGTACTGCTTCTTGTGGGCTGCGCAGGGTGAATGTTGGGTTCTTCTAGGGCTTTGGGCCTATGAAATATAAAAAATTGCTTACCAAGACCAACCCCAGCGGCCGCAGAATCTGCGAGTAGGTCGTCAGGAAGAGGCCTCCGTAACAGACGGGTACCAAGGTGTGGTTCTCCCAGATGCTCCTGAACCCCATGGCATTCGTCCACTCTGCCAAGGAAGAGAAGTTCGATGTGAATGCCTGCTGGTCCCGTTCCTTGTCCTTGCTTTGCCAAATCTTGTAAACCAGATTCCCGTGTCTGAACTGACCCAGGGCCTCTCTTACGTGGTACAGGCTGTGCTTTGGCCACCAACGTCCGCAAGCAAACCTGGCCGATCCCGTCGCCACATGGACCATCTCTTCGAAAGCAACAGCCTCATCTCCAATGTGACGATCGGACATGTCGTTGTCTTTGACAAAAAGAATAAGATCATTTGCTTGTCTGTCCGGTGGGATGCGATTCCCTTGCTGAACTAGCCAATGTGCATACGTGTGGTCGCAACGACCGATGTTATCCATGCGAATAATTCGAGCTTGCGCCGGCGCGCCCTCAACAGTCTGGTTGCATTTGCTGTACACGGTAACGCTGGACATGGGCCTTGTTACGAAAAAGCTGATCCAATTCAGCGGCCTATCACAGTGCGAAACCACCAGGTCTAAGTGCGCCGGCTTTCCAGCGTCGTCTGCCTGCATGTCCACCGTCGCCGTTCGCTGTAACAGCTCCAAGCCATTCTGAGTCATGAAGCCTTCGTCGTGTGGGAGTCCAAAGCATAGATATGTTCAGACGCGCGTACGAACGACAATTAAACCTGAAGCCTTGTCTTAGATGTTAAACCCAAAACTCATTGCAAGGAAAACAAAGGTGCAGAGGTGGAAACCGCAGCAGAAACAGCCTACAACGAAAAGCCATGGCTTCAGGGGCATCGGTGGAAGCCGGGAAGTCTGTTCAGCCTTCCTCAAACGGACGCTTTTTTTAGGCTCCCTAAACCCTAAACCCTAAACCCTGAACTTGAAGCTCCAACAAACATCGGCCAGCAAGTCAGCCATAACTTAGCAAGCATGCGGCGGCTACCAGTGACCCCGACGGGTTACCACCTGACTGAGCCGCTGAATGGCAAAGAAATGTTCGGGTTTAGGGGTTTAGGGGTTTAGGGGTTTAGGGGTTTAGGGGTTTAGGGGTTTAGGGGTTTAGGGGTTTAGGGGTTTAGGGGTTTAGGGGTTTAGGGGTTTAGGGGTGTCGGGGTTTAGGGGTTTAGGGGTTTCGGGGTTTAGGGGTTTAGGGGTCTTGGGTTTTGTCGGAACGGATTCTTACGTAACGCTCAAAAAGGCAGGCTTGGGGTTGAAACAGTCAAAGGGTTTGTACTGGTTAAGGGTTTCGGAGGCCAGGTAGGTTTAGGGTTTAGGGTTCCGGGTTGAGGGTTGAAGGTTCAGGGTTTCCGTCCGAAATCCCTAGACTCCCACCCTCCGCAACCCCGCTGAACAATAAACCCTAGACCCGAAACCCTGCAACTTCCTCAAGGGACACCTTGAGAACCCCAACCATGTATTTGTAGGTTACCTCGGAATTCTATAAGAGGTTTTATAGTTGCAAGCTACAAAATGTAGGTTTTGGGTTCCTGGGGCAAGGTCCACATCCCCCCGAAATACTTGGCCGACGCCGCCTCCAACTGAAGCTTCCGCACGCTTCCTGGTTTAGGGTTTAGGGTTTAGGGTTGAGAGTGCAGGGTGTAGGGTTGAGGGTTGAGGGTTTCACGTCTTCTACCCAACTCTATGATTTAGGGAGGGGGGGGGGGGGGGGTTGTGCGGAAAGGGATCCCTTATAAAGGATGATACGGGGATGGGCCATCAAGAGTCACATTAAAGGGAGTCCTGACTAACAGGGAACCTAACAGACCTACCTCGTGGGGCTATTTCTGGGAACAGGCATTCTCAGCCTGAGTAACCTGCAGGTCCTGGAATGTGGCATTACCTAAACCCTAAACCCTAAACCCTAAAGCCTAAAGCCTAAAGCCTAAACCCTAAACCCTAAACCCTACAGCCTCAAGCCTAAAGCCTAAAGCCTAAAGCCTAAACCCTAAACCCTAAATCCTAAACCCTAACCCTAAACCCTAAACCCTAGACTTTCGGGCGCCCCTGGACCCAGCTCTGGAGCCCAGTAGCTGCTCGTGGATTCAAGCATTTAGGGTTGAGGGTTCAACCCTAAACCCTAAACCCTAAACCCCAAACCCTCAACCCTCAACCCTAAACCCTATTTCAACCCCCTTCTTAGGTCTACATGGAGCTCGGGGACTCAGGGGTTTGGTGGAGGCGGTGGCTGTGTGATTTTTGGGTTCATGGTTTGAGAGCTTAAGAGGGTTGAGGGTTCAGGGTATCGGGCTTAGGCTTGAGGGTTTTGGGGTTTAGGGTTTGAGGGTTTGAGCCTTTAGGGTTTCGGGTTTAGGGTTTGAGGGTTTTCGGGTTCAGGGTTTGAGGGCTTGAGGGTTTAGGGTCTGAGGGTTTGAGGCTGAAGGGCTTAAGGGTTTAAGGGTTGGGGTTTCGGGTTTTCGGGCTTTCGGGCTTTCGGGTTTGAGGGTTTCGGGTTTTGGGCTTGAGGGTTTAAGGTTTCGGGTTAGGGTTGGAGGGTTTAGGGTTCAGGGTTGGTGAAAGGGTTTGAGGGCTTGAGGGTCGCGACGAAACGTTGTGTGCACCGGCCACATGCACTACTAGACTCGATATTCTTTCCGGTCTGCAAGATAACACCGATTCGAAGAGCGCAGCGATCCCTCCTATTCCTGAAACCATGGCAAACACAAATAGTCTCAGCTGGCGGCTTGCGGATTTAGGATTTAGGGTTTAGGGTTTAGGGTTTAGGGTTTAGGGTGGGAACCCCCCAATAAGACGCAACCTTCTTCGGGTGTAGGGTTGTAGGGGTCTTTGGGTTTCAGGGTTAGGGTTCGGGGGATAGGGACCCAAACCCTACGACCAGACGTGCCTTCCAACCATCCCCGAACTATGCAGAACTAAGGGTTCGACAACTTTTGGGGTTTAGGGTTTAGGGTTTAGGGTTTAGGTTTTGGTGTACCAAGTCCACCAAAAGGGTTTGACCTTTGGTTTTGGTGGGTTGTTATCCCTACAAAAGCAAAAAAATCATCCCTTAGCTGCTACTTTTGAATATGTCAGGGCATCCTGAAAAAACTCTTAAGAACCCCGACAAAATATTCTTCCTCATTAAGGGGAATATTGGTTTTTTTTTAAAAAAACTTTTGGGCTTCTTAAGCAACTAGTAAACAACAGCTCTTACTGGCTGAGTTTTCTACGGAGACGAATCTGGTTGAGGGAGCTTGAACAAACCTGGACAGATCACCTTCTCCTCGCCAAAAAACCACAACTCCTGAACCGTAAGCCCGAGACCCCAACCGTAAAACTAAAAGCCGCGCACCCTGAAGCTGAAAAAAACTCTAAGCCCCAAAATGCTTCCCAAACTTAGACGCCCCAGCAGCTAAACCCTAAACCCTAAACCCTAAACCTTAAACCCTAAACCCTAAACCCTAAACCCAGCACACGTCCTGCCTGGAGAGAGATGCGGAAGGGCCGTGGCTCGCCCGGAGTGCCTGGCAGGAGCCACTGCCCTACTGAGGCAGTCTTGGGGTTTAGGGTTTAGGGTTTAGGGTTTAGGGTTTAGGGTTTAGGGTTTAGGGTTTAGGGTTTAGGGTTTAGGGTTTAGGGTTCAGGGCTCATACCCATGAAGCCAGGGTAAGCTCCAATTACATACCCTTGCTACCTCTTTTCGTGCTCAGTACGCTTTACGGGTCTTAGGGCTTATATGCGGTGTTAGGGCTTAGGAATTTGGAAGGGTTCTTAGGGTCTGGGGCCAAGAGCCTTTCAGGATGTTTAGGCTGAAGAGTTCTTAGGGTTTTGTGGGGTTTAGGGTTTTTGGGGTGCTGGAGTTTTGGGGTTTAGGGTTCTGAGATTTTTGCGCTTAAGGATTTTAGGGTTTAGGGTAGCAAGGTTTACATAGGGTTTGAGGGTTTACACTTTATGGTTTAGGGTTTAGGGTTCGGGCGCACAACACAGCTCAGTGCGTGAAGGTGACCCTTTCCCTGAAGCCTGAACCCTGAACCCTGAACCCTCAACCCTCAACCCGAAGCCGCAAGGGAGGCCTTTGAGTGCTTCAATGCCTGTCTGGTTCCTTCGGATCGCCGAAACCTCTTGGCCGGTGGAAAGGGGCAAAGGCTTTGTGGCTTCGGACGGCTTAGGGGTTAGAGTCTAGGGTCTTGGGGTCTAGCCTGCAAGAGCCATGCGAGACCACCTGCTAATCTGCTTGTCTAGCCGAAAATACCTCAACGCCCAACCCTATGTACACCCTAAACCCTATCACCCTCAACACCACCACCTCATACCCCTGTCAAAAGGCCCAATGGGCTCAAGAATTGCAGGCGCCTAAACCCTCCCTAACCGCCAAGAGTCTGTTTCGGGCATCCCACTCGGCTAGCCCGGCCGGCACTGGCCCATCTAGAGCCCTGAACCCTGTAATTCGTCGGGGCGCGTGGAATATCTTATTTGGGGGTTTCCGAAAATAGGGGTACCTTGTTGGGGTCCTTATTATAAGGGGGATCCTACTATTTGGGGATCTATATTAGGGCTCCCTTTTTTTCGTCAACCTCCACTTGGTTAGCCTTCTTCCTCCTGGGACTTCAAAGGCCAAAACGGGAGGGGGGGGGGGGGGAGGTTGATCGAAACTCTGCACCCTTTATGTACCTTGTTCAGATCCAGGCTTAGCGTTTAGGGCCTTTTTTTGGGGGGGGGGGAGGGGGGGGGAGGGGGGGGGGGGGGGGGGGGGGTGGGTCGAAAAAGCTGCCGAAACTGCGTAGGCACCCCCTCGGCGCCGGCAAGCGCAATGCGTGTGTGCCCTTGCCGAACTCCTCGAAAGAACACCTACCCTACTGCTGAGGGCGGTGCGAAGACAACCCAACACGTGGGAATGCAACAACGGGCGCAGAGTGCTGCGGGGTGCCTCCCGGCCCCACACGAAGTTGGGGGGTTCAGCGTTCGGGTGAGACTTTAAGCGAATATGTGAGCTTTATTGGGAGTTGAACCCTAAACCACCACATACCCCATAAAGCTAAGACCAGACCCTAAAACCCTAAACCCCAGACCCTCGACCCTATAAAGCCTGTAAACCCTACAAAGCCCAAACCCTAAACCCCACACCCCCTAAACCCCAAACCCTAAACCCCAATCCCTAAACCCTAAACCCTAAATCCCAAACCCTAAACCCTAAACCCTAAACCCTAAACCCCAACAACCCCTGAACGCGGCCTGGTCCCGCAGCAGGGATACAGCGAAGCGCCCGAGACCCAGAGCCAGGAGGGACCCAACAGCTGAGGCGATGCGGACCTTTCGGGTTCGGGTTTAGGGTTTAGGGTTTAGGGTTTAGGGTTTAGGGTTTAGGGTTAGGGTTTAGGGCTTAGGGCTTAGGGCTTAGGGTTTAGGGTTTAGGGTTTAGGGTTTAGGGTTTAGGGTTTAGGGTTTAGGGTTTAGGGTTTAGGGTTTAGGGTTTAGGGTTTAGGGTTTAGGGTTTAGGGTTTAGGGTTTAGGGTTTAGTGTTTAGGGCTTCGGGTTTGGGGTTTGAGGTTTGGGGTTTAGGAGGTGTGGGGTTTAGGGTTTGGGGTTTAGGAGGTGTAGGGTTTAGGGTTTGGAGTTTAGGGTTTAGG